GCAAGTCAGATGCCAAAGTTATAGTCCATCGTGAGTTCTGGCCTAGAAAATCACCCTAAGTCTAGAAACGCCGTCAGACGACCGGCGGCAGTCACAAACACACCTCCTTGGAATTTTGTGTCCAGCACGTTGCCGTCGGTAAGCAACGGCTTGCTGTTGAAATACCAGAACAGCATGGGCGAGTGACCACCCAAAGTCTCGCACGTCAGTTCAAGCAGGTGCTGACCTTCTCGTTTGTTGGCGATCGAATACGTCAGTTTCACCTTCAGGGGATCTACGGAGAAACTGCGCGTCACACGGACATATAAGTGACGCGATTCTGAATGTTTACCAATCACAGTAAGAGAAAAAATGATGAATGGCAGAGCGACGTCTAACAGCGCCTTGCCGGCCGTTCCCTGATTAACCGCTCGACAGATGTACGAGCCTTGGTCCACTTTTGACACGTTGCTGATCAGCAGATTACCTGATTGATAAGAATGTTGAAACAGAGAAACAGAAACGCGCCTAGTCATTACCTAAGATCATGGTATGACGATCAGGGGACAGCTCTCCGCCGTATTTCTCCCATGTCGTTGCTGGTGACGAGACACCGCTGAAAATGCATTCAAAAGTGACGTTACTGCCCAATGCTGCCTCGATGCTGCTTTGTTTGACAACGGGATAAACGACTTTAATGGCCTCGGTGAATCGAGTACTGTCTGAAACGATATCAAAGAAATCATCAAGAAAACGAAACATTCAGTTTTCATTTCCATCTATACGAGTTTTAGAATAGAAGCTGTGAAAAGCTGGTGGATAATCAGCTAATATTCAGAACAAAATTTCGCTATAACCTTAAAATCTTTGACAAACCACGTTAATGGAATTAATTTGCACCAGTGCGCATGGTGTAAAACAAACAACGGAATAGCTGGCTTGCACGAAAGGTTCCCTGGGCCTCTAGAAGCAAAGATATGTTGAAATCAACGGGAAGCACATCTGTGCGTAGACACATACGTTAAGTTCGAAAAGGCATAAGCAGGCTCTTAATGATAAAGACAAACGAAGAGACGGCTAGAATCTTGGAGGAAAATATATTTAACAAGTGAAGAATTCAGAACCCACCACGGTGTTGCTTCTTTAGTACAAATCAATGTACAGACGGA